GAGACTTTAGAGAAGACTATACCATATGTTCATCAATCCATGTTTCTGTGCAACTGTAAACTTGTTTCTAGATTAGCCAAATTATTAAAAAACCATTTAAAATCTTTATTCTAGGCACAAAATTTAGTTTTAATGACAGGAAAAAAACATTGGATTGGGGAAATCGAATCAATGAATAGATAGATAATTATATAAACGTCGCTAAAATGCATCGAAATGGTAAAACTTTCACGCCCCCATAACTTAGTTATGAAGCGTGGCACAGGGGAACATTATAGAAAAACTAGCATTTGTAGACCACCATTCACCTCAGCCATGAAGTAAATTTTAAAAACAGAGATACCTGAGTTTTTTCAGATTCCAAAAGTAGAGTATGTCTTGAACTATTATGTAGATTTTTAGAACCTTGTCGAACCCTTTTTGTGAAAACACCATTTAAACTTCATTGAAACAAAAATGCTCTAATGTTGCTTATAGTGGTAGCCAAGTGTAAAATGTATTTATAAAAAAAATGTAGTTTTAATAAACCCTTTTCAAGAGGTTTAAACTACTACATTTTTAAATAACCTTTTTTCTATCTTTTAAACATCCAATAAAATCTCTCTGAAACAACCCATTAGTAATTTTTATAAAATCTACACTAGGTTGAGTCTGAAATCTCTCTCTAAATTCTGTAATATCATTTAAAACAAAAATAAAAAAACTACATTTGAACAAGTTCTATTTTATCAAGTAGACAGATTATATACAGGTTGCAGACTAGCTGCATAAAAGGGTTGAGAACCCTTTTATACCCAAGGGCTCCAGGCGCGCCTATCAGTAAAAAGGATTCTCACAAAAAGTACTATATACAGTTTAAAATATAATATGATTCGTTGCAATTGTAAATTAATTCCGGGTCTTTCTGATTATGACTGTAGAAAATTTGGAAACCCTACATAAGGCAAATAAATTATGCATAGGCTACACCTGTTTCACTGAAAGATTTAATTTTAAACCTATACTGGTAAACTTTTTGGTTGTAAGAGTTTTAAAGAGTTTCACTTTACAAGTAAATACAAGTGTTTTACATTGAATATTGCATTTTAGGTTAAAAATTAATAAGCATACTTTACAGTCTTCACGGGACCCTGAGAGTGAGTAGTTGTTTGAAACCCACAGATATCTATGATGAAACCTCATAATTTTCTTTTAATATTTGAATTAATTAGTACATTACTTATGAAAAGAACAGAACACTACGATATTAAATGGATAGATCAACCTTAGAATTATTCTTCATCATCAGTCCGTAGACGGGATACTACTTTACATTCACTCCCAGTTTCTTAATTTGAATAAAGAAGCTGGCAAATTACGTTTCAAAGAATTGATAAGAAATTGCCTCCTTTTAAACTAACTTTAAAATTACCTAAAAATGATCATCCTAAAGTTTTGTTGGTATACACGTAGGATTACATTAGCTATGAAACGTTAATAATAAAATTAAGAATAAATTGTTATCAGGAAAAACCATTTAAAAAGATATTACAAATTCCAATAATTTAAATTTTGTATAGTAGTCCAGTGATAAGGTAGAAGCACGTCCAACGGTTTGCCTGAAAAACAAATTTTTAAGTCCTAGTCTAAATTCAAATTTCAGGTCAATTGGAAAAATTTTAATATTTTAAATTGGATCATAAATTAAACAATATTATATTTTGAAATTTTCTTTTTTTGAAATTTTTCAAGAAATATCCAGAATTTTTTTTCTACTTTTACATTTCTTTTTTTTGCACAACATATTACCAGTTTTAGAGAAAAAGTTTTTGCCCAAAATTTAGCTGATAATTTCTTTCTTTTTAATAATAACTTTCTTGTAGATTAGTAAATTTTCTAGATAACCCTTACATTGTATTTGGAACTGATCCAGAAAAGAGTGAACAGTCCCTTAGATACACTGAGGGATCTGAATATGGATCAATAAAACCCGAGCCGTAGCAGTAGACACAAGTCTCCTGCACATTACCTGAGCGAAGAAGGCTCATGTTTCGAAGTATGAAGCATAGTGAGCATGGTGGAAGGCTTACATATTAAGGGTTAATACTTAATCTTCTGCAGTTATTGAAATAAAATTGAAAAGGATTGGCCAACTAAGTATCACTTGCTCATAAGTTAACTAATAACCATGAATAACTTCTTTTCTGCATAATCTTGGCATGTTCTCTCTTGGGTGGAGTTTTTCTTGAATATTCAATCAAACCCCTGTCCAAGGTAAATGATAATATTTGAAATTTGTAAAAATTTAAACAACATTTTAAACATACACTTAATCTATCTATCTAACTATCTGTTTCTACGTGTGGAATATCAATAATCTTGATCTTGATTTCCAATGTGGGCACTTTTTATGATTTTATGATAAATTCTTGATATCTCAGTTAAAGTAATCCCAGCAGGGTTTGACCCCGAGGAAGAGAAATAAAAATGCATCAGATGGAGATCAATGCTTGATCCCAAGATTCACAAATAATGTCTTCTGACCTTATTTTTTTTTTTTAATATATTTTTTTTTATTTCGTGAACGTACACAATTTAAATAATTGGTACAATTAAACAGAAGAAAAAAGAACTATAAGAGTATATATCAAAAATGAATACAAATACAAGAAACAGAATCATACTGTAATTAGGTCGTGCATATAAAATTAAAAATATCGTCAATCTCAGCTTGGTCAACTCCATTGATAACAATCTTATTGTTTTTTACGATACTGCACTGTCATTGGCTGAAGTTATTGTGACGTAATACGGACTATACGGACTATGCGTAATAATATTATCAATTATATCTATTCAAAATACAAAATCAAAATTAAAAAATTATAATAGGAGCAAACCTGAGATTCTCAGGCTCCTTTGGGATATAATCGTTTTCAGATTGATTTCGTATTTGTTGAATATGATCTGTTTAATAATACAACTTTTATACAAAATTGTATATATATGAATTTTTGTATAAATCTGACAAGTTTTATATCAAATTCTCGAGACAGGAACATCAGATAGATGTCTAAATGTATCATTCAACGCCTGGGATTCTCAGGTTTCAGCCTATACCCCCTTTCATTTTTCCTTTACAGTCCCTTTAATGTAAAATTTTTATGTTAAAAAAATATAAATAATATCAAGTTAATGGGTTGAGTGCAGTAGAAAACAATTATTCATTTTCTCTTTCAGGAGTTTGTCTTTTATGAGTTTATCCTTCAGGAGTTTGTCTTTCAGAAGTTTGACTTTCAGGAGTTTGTCTTTAGAAGTTTCTTTTTCATGGAAATTGTACATAAATTTTCAAGACCAGATCAACTCTGAAATGAGAAGACTGTGGCCGTCGGTATAACCTTGTGTTCCCGCGCATAACTACAAGACATTTAAAATCCTTGCATTTAGGCAGTATATTTGTATGGAATCACCAACATAAAGTTTTAACCAGCTTGGCTTCATCTGGTTTAGTCTGGTTTTTAATCTCAGTCTAACATAAAGGGTGTTTTTAAACAAAGATACAAAATGCTTTTAATATAATAGCCATAAATTATTTATGTATAATAGCAAACAATATTTCATAAATTATGCAACTGATAGTTTATTTAAAAATATGTATTTTATATTTATTTGGTCTCAATAGGTTGTACTATAAGGTGTCTAGTGTCTATGGACTCATTGGACTAGGGGGGAGTGAATTTGCAAGAAAAATGCAATTTGCTTAAAATATTCAGTTCTTATGTAAAAAAAAACACTTTAAGAACAATTTCTATTATGAAATTTTTTTTATTGGAGTTCGTCATCGTATAAATATCCATTTGACAGATATGGAACCTAGAAAATTAAACAATGATGAGGCAATCGGACAATACAACAGAGATTAACAAAAATATTGCAAGATCCTGTACAATAATCACAATAAAACATTACCCGCAGAGGAAGAACCAATTGAACTAGGTACAGTATGCATGGCATTTGCAAATAAATTATTAACCTAAATATGTACTCTTTCTCTGAGATCTGTGTTCCATTCAGCGAAATAAGACGACCTCCAATAAAAAAATGCCATAAAAGAATTCGTTCTTAGAACTGTTTTTTGTTACATTCGAAATGGCTATAATATTAGGAAGCATCTCAGAAAAGAGTACATTTAGGTCAAAAATTGGAGTTTCAGTTAGCTTAAGAAGACGACCTCAAATCAAAAATGTCATAAGCGAAATTGTTCATAAAATTGCTTTTTAAATGGGAATTGAATATCGTTGTTAGGATTGGAAGTACAGGGTGTCCCACGAAACATGACAATAGGAAGACGACTTGAAAGTCGTCTTTGGTATTTGAATTTATTTGTGACATTTAGTCTTCTATCTAATTTAACATGTATGATTCTTGAAACAATTATCACATAATTTTCCTAGCCCTGGCATTTCCAAAAAGTGGTCTGCGTTTTTTGTGCTTTCAATATTACCGGAGATATAAAGAGTTTGGTTCAGATTTCAATTTTGTTAAATAAAAGCAAAATTGTCGAAATCTGAACGAAATTCTTCATATCTCGGGCAATATTGAAAGCACAAAAAAGGCAGACCACATTTTGGAAATGGCAGGACAAGGGAAATTTTGTGATTATTATCTCTAGAAATTTACTTCTAAAATTATTTGACAAATAAACGCAGCAAATTATATCAAAAATCAAGACGACATTCAAGTCGTCCTGCATACTGTCATGTTTCGTGGGACACCCTGTATTTTGCTTGTGTATTGCGAAATCACATATCTCATAAAAAGAAACATATATGTCAAAACTCGCAGTGCCAGTTAGCTAACAAAGACGACCTCCAATAAAAAAGTGTCCTTAAATAAATTGTTCTTAGAATTCAATTTTACGTAGGAATTAACTATCGCTGTAATACTGCGACGAAATTTTAAAATGCACTTTCCCCTATTGAACACACCTTGGATGCTTGCATGGATTCTTCAGCAGTCGAGTAATGTATAAAAGAAATTTAATTTTGTCTCCAGGTTCAGTTACTTTAAAGATAAACCTTTAAAGAAGCATGGATATAAAGATAATCATTTTTCTTTGTCTTGCATTTGCTGCCCCGCAGACTGAAGGTATTGGTTTTGGTTAATCCCATTTTCTTAAAAACAATATTGAAGGCTAAAATATAAAACCATTAAAATATAGTTTTGAAATCTAATGACTGGGAATAGGTCTAAACTTAGATTTAGTCTGGCAAATGTAAAATAAGGCATTCAGGCAGTACGTCTGAGGGCTCAAGCAGTTGGCATAAAAGCTCCAATCAATTTAAGACTTAAGTGAGTTATAGTTGTGTTTGTTAAAAAAGTAAAAATATTTGAACAGCCTCACGGGTCATTCTTTTTCAAGTCAGCCAAAAAAAGCAATTATGGAAATGACCGGCTCCGATTTTTGAGAAAATTTGCACAACTTATTAAGAGAAAATAAAATTTTCGGAATCAGGAGGTTTCTGTGACCTTTCGTTTGTGAGTTGTGAGCCTCTACAGTTTCAGCCTCCAGGGAGCGCCTCAAAATAAAGAGGAAATCCCTCAAAAACTAGGGTTTGATAACGAATTTCCGTATTTATTACAGAAATCACGAAAACAACTTAAAAAATCTACTTTTGACTGGTTTCCGCTTTTTTTGAGGCATTTCCGCGGTGAGATGTCTCCATGGTGAGGCGTTTCATCCCAATTTAAATTTCATCCCAATCTGAGATGGTGACTTCCATGGGGTGGCTGAGTTGAAAAAGAATGACCCTCACACAAATACTTTTTTAGTTATATCCAACTAAAATAGGGTTAAATAGGTTAACTAAAAATAAATTTAAATATTTTATGATTATTATGGATATTCAGGTGGATTAGCGGAAGAAGAAGACTCCTCCTGCTCTCCTGAAGTTCAATCAAGTGGAGAAGGGTTGTGTGAATCTGCTGCTGATTGTTTAACAGCCCCTGGAGATGTAGATTCTGTATGTGTACAGTGTACAGATACATCAATGTTCCCACCAACTCAGTATCCACAGATGTTATCATACAACTATTCAGTTGAAGACAAGTGTTGTTTATCTAGAGGGATTCAACATACTAAAATATTTGATTGTGGAGTAGAATGGCTTGATGAGACTTATGGATTTAGAGGAAATCTGTTTTGGAAGATTACTGAAGATAATGGCTTTACACCTCAATATCCTAAACTAATTTCTACTACATGGATTGGTCTACCGTCTTCTGGGATAGATGCATCATATACCAAGGATGGTGTAACCTACTTCTTCAAGGGTTCCCAGCTGTATGCTTATTCACAGACTTATACAATGATATCTGGATACCCTATCAACATTTCGGACAGATTCCATGGACTTGTTGACAACATAGATGCTGCAGCAAATATTGACGAAAAACTTTATATATTTAAGGGAAATCAATACTGGAGGTATGACTATGATGACACAGACCCTGTCTCTTTCGAAAATACAGATTCTTTTTACCCAGCACCTATCGATGGAAACTGAATTGGAGTAGATGTAACTTCTGTTGACGCACTTATCAGGGTTGGAGGAGACTATATCTTCTTTACTCAAGGACTTGTTTACAAGTTTGATATTGCTGCTGATAGAGGATATGATCTTTATCCACAAGATGTGGCAAACTCATGGCTCAAAACAGTCTAATAACTTTGGGATCCAAAAATTAAAAAAAGTAAATCCGATCTTGGACTATTTTTTAGATTTTTGGTGAATTTTTATTGATTTTTTCATTGTTTTATTTTTTGAAAATAAAACCGCAAATAACTTTTTTTCCCAACTGTTACACAGATAAAGCAAAATATGAATTAGAATCCTTAGCAAAATGTGAATATTAATTAAACCACTTCTTTTGTGTGTCGTAGTCAGTTTAACTAAGTCTATGTGGTTCAAATACTTCTCGCAGATCATAAAAATCGGTCTTAATAAAAGACTTTATTAACTAAATATATATAATCAGATTTATTTCATGTTAATTAGAATAAAGAATTTATTTTATGAAAAGGGTAAAAGACTGTAAAGATGTGTCTATAATGTCTCCGCAAGATGAACAGTGATGACGGACAAGTTTACTCTGTTTGTATACTGTAATTTTCTTGTTTTACTAAGTACAACCGTATGCAGTCAAAACATAAACAAACAAATGTGAACATAGCAGACGAAACTCTTACAGATTACAGCTTTCTCAATAGGTATCACTAAACTAAACAAAAGAATTATCTGAAAAGACGATATCGAATTCGTCACTGAATTCCCATGTTTTTTGGGACACCCTGTAGTAAATTCCTCTCTATATATTCTATTCTCTATGTATATAAATTACAAAAGCAATACATAATGGGAAGTTCTCAGAGTTTTATATATTGGTTGTTATAGAGTTAATCAATTACAGAAGACGACCTCAAAATAAATATTGAAACCAATGCAGTGTTTCATTTTCAATTTTAAAATCGACCTTTAATTCTTATACTTTATAAAATTGCTTTATTTGATTAAATAACAATGAAAATAGCTTAAAATCAACTTTTTTTACACATTTTTTGTTTCATAAATTACTTTTTCTACTTGTACTTCCTTTATATGTTTTAATATGTATGTATGTAACTTTTTTGTGCACATTTACAGGGTTACCCAAAAAGGTCGAGACTGTGAAGATGACTCAAAACTTAAAAACTATGATGATTTAAACTTTGATTTTAGGTTTCTGCATTAAATTGAGTATTTGATGGTTTGCTGCATGATAAAGCACAGAAATAAGCCTACAAGGATCCCTGAATGCAAGAAAACGGACTAAACAAATTCAATTCAATCGCCTCTGAAGCCTCATCCTTTGTGGGTAACCCAGTATGTTTGCTAGTCACAAAATTCATTGGAACCCTCCAAGAATTACTTGAGTTGCAGGGTTTATGCTGGTTCCGGATTTTAATAAATTTTACGAACTTAGTTAATAAAAACAAAAACCAACAATAAAATAGCATGGCATATTTTTTATGCATCGAAATATAACACGTTTGTAAATGAATTGAGTAATTCTTAATTTCTTAATTTAACAATCTTACACTTTATCTTCATTTATTCAATAAACTAAATTATAGATTTTTTTTATTCAATTAACAAAATGATTTCGAACAAATATCACACTTCATATTTTCAGACTACTCATTTCTTGAGATTAAACTTGTTAGTTGAAACCCTTCTCTGTTTATCTGCGCACTTGAACACCCAATCAGGGTTTAGGAATACAACAGCTGGGTTCACTCTCTCCCCCTCTCTATACACCATATTCAGAGTTTTTGTTTTATTTTAGGGGTATATATTTAGTCAAATGATTATCCCCCTCTTTGAAAATAATGTTTGCGCGGAGCACTTATTTTTCTTTAATCGCTACATTGGGGAAAAAAAAATACAGTTTTAGCATATAAGTATTGTTATTCAAACTTAAGAGGGGTCAATTAAAAGTAAAAAAATTGCCAATACAGGATTCTTTTAGTTGTTTTTAGTCGACACTTTAAAATTGTAATGTTTAAATTTTGTATTATCTTTAGTTTTGAAATTTCAACATTTAAATTTAAGAATTTTGAAATTTTGAGTCAGTCCGTAATTTGAAGTTATAATAGATTATGGGATAAAAATTATAAATCAATTTGATCCTTCGACATTTTTACTAAATCATACCAGGAAACATTTTTTTAAGAAAAAGATTTTTTTATCCAATGTTTTTTTTCTGAATATCCCTGATATCTCCTGCAGTAACTGCTTTTGAGATAATGACTCCAACACTGAGAAAAAATTCAAATAAATTTTTTATGAATTACTTTTCAAAAGAGTTTTTGTTGATTTGATAATTGGTGCGAAAGCGAGTGGATTTTAAATTTAAATAATGAATTTAAATGTTATGAAGGAAACAATTCTCAAGCAAAAATAATTGTCATAAAGATTTAATTTCTTAGCTTTATATCATTTAACAACTTTTTTTGATTTCACTTTAGTGTTGGATATATTTTCAAGAAATGTGTAGTTGAAATAATGCAGTCAACTTTTATACTAATTTGGTTAGTTTTCTTGTGTTTTAATTCATTTTTAAGATTCCTTGGATTATTATACATAGAAATGCTTCCTCCGTGTGCTACTATGTACCGTTCTACAATATTGTTTATTGATTTAAGAAAACTACTAAGAAAATAAAAATTTGATATTTTATTGTTGTAAAATGTTGAAAGTTTTCTTTACTTGTGAAGTACAGTTAGAATTTCTGACCAATGAGAAATCGGTTAAATCAATTTTAAGTAGAGAGAGAATTTAACTCATTTTCTCCATCTAGAAGGACTGTTGGCGTAATTTTAGTGACGGATTCACAATGGTCCCCTTTAACCCTTTTTTAGATTGACAAGGAGGAAAACACCGTCGTTTTGTTGTCTTGAAAAATGTAATAAATTCCTTCAATTTCTTTTCTCTCACCGCAGTTAAACAATCGATTAACAGGGATAAATCATACCTTTTTTACTCAGAAAAAGGGTTTAAACGGAATTGTTTTGATTCCCTCTCATTGGAGGATCCTTTGAAAATACGCGAAAAAAACCCTTTAAATCTGTGTTTATTTCGAAATTAAGGTTTAAATACAGGGTGTCCCAAAAAACATGGGAATTCAGTGACGAATTCGATATCGTCTTTGTTATGAATTAGCATTGTAATACCTAATTTCAAAAGCCGTAATATTATTATGTCTGCTAAAGTTTATTTTATGAAAAGGGTAAAAGACTGTGTCTATAATGTCTCCACACGATGAACAGTGAAGACGGACAAGTTTACTCTGTTTGTATACTGCAATTTTCTTGTTTTACTAAGTACAACCGTATGCAGTCAAAACATAAACAAAAGTCAATATCGGTATCTGCGTCATAAGCGTCATCTGAATCTTCTGCGTCAGTCTCAGCATCGTACGCATCTGAATTCTCCTCTTTCTCAACTTTGGGACTAAAAATGAAATAACTACCCGATTTTCAACCGATATGTATAAAGAATATAGAATTTTCAATCAAAGAGGCTATCGCAAATTTAATTTAATATTTTAACCTCTATAACACATAAATGATTGAGATATATCCCGCACAGAACAAGCGACGCTGTTTTAGAGTCTGAAAACGACCCGCACGACCCCAAAAACGGGCGCCGGCCCGACTCTATTTTAGTACTAA